GCTCTGCAAGCTCCCTATTTTTAACGTCGTCCTGGGGCAGGCCTGGCTCTGGTAGCTGCCGCCCCGTTGTTTCGGTGGATATGTGACTCTTGGGAAGGCTTTATGGCCGGGGGAGATGGAGTAGATGTTGGATTTGACCGTCTGGGCCTGACCCACGTGACAGATGAAAGCGATACCGCGCGAGAGCCGCGGGTGGAGCACGCTCTGCGGTAAGCGCTCAGATATGTGGGAGTGCTCACAGCGAGCTGGTGGGGTGGGCGCAGCTGCAGAGCGAACATCCTCTGGTTCCCCGACGCTGGGGCTGGGGAACGGGCGACCCCAGCTCGCCACGGGGACGGCCGCGCCGGGCGCGGGGATGGAGGTGCGGGGTGCCCGGCTGGCTGCGGGACTGGTTGCTCGCACCTCCCATTCTCCCTTTGCCTTTCAGTGGCGTTACGTGGAATTTCATCACGTCCTTTCTCTTCTTTCCTTGCCTTAAAACAAACAAAAAACCAAAAGGCCTTCGAGCTTCCCTGCTGCTGTAGCCTCCTTATCTGCTAAATCTTGTTGCATCTACTTTTAAGACGGCTTCCTCAACAACTACCCCCCAAGCCGCAACCTCAAATTCAGATCCCGGCACAGCTGGGCCAGCGTGCTTATTTTCTGCCTAACTTCTCGCAGGCTGTCTCCTCTGTAGCCACTTCAAACGCAGCGGTTTCAGCAGTTACTGACTGGCTGAATTTGGAAAGCATTCCCGTGAATACCTGGGTGTTCGACCGGGAGCTTGCCTTCTGCCCAGGGCTGTAACAAGGATGAGTGCTAAGTGCTAGGAGGAAAAAAAACCCAAAACAACAACGAATCTCTGTATTTTAGCTTTGCCTATTCTTGTTTTCTCTCTGCGTGAACAATATTTAATGTAGAACACCATAGGTATCTCAGATATTGTCCAGCTGTGGGAGAGAAACTGGAGAAACTTGCTACGTTTTACACTTCTGGCTGATTTCAGACCTCAAGTCTCAAGTCCTCCAGCATCCTCTATGGGTTAACTTGGGTTTTGCCCTTTTTCAAAAAAGCTTGGACAGATATTATCCTTCTCCTTTTAAAATACACAAGTAGATAACAATTAGATGCAGTTCCTTTTAATGAAGGCCTGGTTCTTTGCATGTGTTTTACAAGTGCTAATCTTGGTTAAGGAGATAAAGAGCTGTGATAGGAGCTCCTATAACATGAAGACCATTAAAGTTTGTCTTACATTAATAATACCAGCATAGTGGACAAAATTACTTTTAAGAGCTAATTAATTAAGATTAAAACCTCTTTACATTTTTTTCAGGTTTCTATGATACTTGGCAGTCCAAACCAATTGTTAATGTCCTGCAGCGCTGTGATTCTGGCATTGTAGGAGAGAAACGTACATGAAGTTTTAGAAAGTAATACAGAACCGATGGATATGTAGTTGCATTTTGATCTAAGATGATGCCCAAAGAGGCTGTTTAACATGTGAAAAATGTCAAAAGATAGACATAGCAATGACTGTGTAGTGTCTAGATTAAGTTTTGGACTTCAAAAACATCTAGCCAAAGCCCTCAGTTTTTGGCTTGGTATTTAATTATTTGCATTTTTTTCAAATTTAAGACATCAACTAGGAAGAGCTGGAATTTTATGGCAAGAACAGCAGCTTTCCATATAGTTCAGTCGAGGCAGAAAAATTCAGCTAGCAAATGCAGCGCCCAAAATGAATTAATATTGTGTTTCTTGTTATTGTGGCACTCCGATTCATCAGAAGCCATCATCTGCTTTCACTGCGGAGAGAATGAAACAGCAGGTACGTGCACAGAAAGTATTTTAACAGGCTGAGAGCACAATCTACATCTAAAAGGGAGCATTGGAAGTAAGGGCCAACCATTAATGGAAATACTCAACTGCCGCAGTTTGCTGAGCAAAGAGCAGATTGCTGGAGAGGCTCGGTACTGAGAGGGTGGTGAGGATACGGGCTCAGCGCTTGCTCTATCTGTGAAAGCCTGCCCTGGGCTTCCTCCCGCGGCGTGGCTTTGTGGTGAGCTCCAGCAGGCTGCCAGCCGTGTCCTCCTGCTTGGCCGAAGGCCCTCTGCTCTCAGGGCAGCTCCAGGTGCTGGCCTGGGGACATGATGCTCTCTTCGGCCGCCGAGCCCTGCGGACACTAGCAGCATGGTGCTGATCACTCCAGGCTGCTGGAAAAAGGTTAGGAACCGCTGTTTTGAAAGCACTGCTTTTGGGAGCGAAGGGGAGAAGTTGCAGCCTATGAGAAATTTCCTGGGATAAAGCGCGCTCTGAGCAAGCGTGGCTTGCCTGTTGATGTTGGCTGGCTGCATTGGCAGTGATGGGTTTCCATCAGAGAGGGCATGCTGTGACTGCTGAAACCGCTTGCTGGAGCACGTAGGTGATGCTTGCCAGCCGGTCTGGACGGAGGTTTGGGATTTAGGACTGCCCGTAGGAGCCCTGCGAGCAGGTCCCTGTTGGAATTATCACGTAGATGTCCACAACTGTTTAAATACTGAGCTAAACTGAAACAAAGACACTAGTTGTATCTGTTAGCTTAAACTGATAAAAAATCTCCCGATTCGCCCAACTGATTTGTCGTAACTTTTGCTGGGTGAAGAGCTCCCTCCCCTGCAGTGCCTGAAGCGGAGGGCAGCATCTATGGCACGAGTGCATTACTGTACAGTAAAACCTGCGCACTGGGCAAAGGGAGTACTTCTGGGCAGAATTACAGGGACACTGAGTTGCCACGTGTAATATATATCCCTTTTCCTTACCAGCTAAAAGCAGGCAGCATTGTAAGGTGTTGTTTTACTGCTGTGGGTGTGACTGTGCTGAATGGCTTTGACACAACTGTGTTTATTAATGGATCACGCTTCTTCCATGGTACAACTTAATTTTTAAGAGCACAGAAGTTTGTTCAGAGCAGACAGATGGCCTCAAATCATCTTCTGCTACAAATGACTACTTGAATCTTAGGTACAAGGCATGATTCAAACCTGACTGATGGAGGTGCCAAGAAAAAAAAAAAAGATAGCCGCCAGTGTTGCAGTCTGTTGCCCAGCTTATTCCCAAAATCAGACTCTTGCTACTGAGAATTGACAGCAGGGTTCAGAGATGACAAATGATCAGAAAATAACACAGCCTGTGCAAGACTTTGCTCTGAACTCTGTCCAAGCCGCCATTGCTGAAGAGTCAGCATCGGCCCTCTGCAAGTGCGGCTCTTTGGTCCCAGAAGATATAGGTCACACATGGTATTTATGATTAATCCTCACTGTTAGAGCATGAATCTTCAGCAAAGGATAATTACTTTAATTAGTTCTCAGTGTGTTGTACTATCTGTGGAGAGATGCTTGCTTATCCTCCCCTGGAGAGCTGATCTCTAAAGGACCTATCTGAAGCGAGTGAGAAGATAGTTGTGTCCCTACGGCACAGCGCAACGCTAAGTGGTCTGACAGAACCAAGGTTAAAACCTGCTGCAGGGCTTGGGCTGAATCTATGCCAAGGGCTGTTTGATACTTAACTGAGTTTAATGATTTTAAGTTTCTTTCTTGGTTTAAATTAAGTATTTAAGAACTGTCTGTTTGCTTTTTGTATTTAGTTACAATACAGCGAATGAATACAACTGACTTGTCTAAAAGCTCCCATTGCCCAGGAGAGTCTTCGAAGAAACAAGCAGCTCACCCCTTCCTTGCACTCTCTCATTTCTCTTTGTTAAATTTCCATTTGATTGAGCTTATCTCTGTACACACCTTGTTCCTTACGCACAATTCAGAAATAAACTGAGTTGTATAAATTCTGTCCTTTATTTTTCAAATTTCCTAACAAAATGCAATTCTGGCTTCCTCTTGCTGATCACACTGGTCTTCCCTGAAATGAAAGAGCTATTTCTAGCAGTTCTTTACCCAGTTCCTCGTGCCTTCCTCCGGTGCTGAACTCTGCAGACAGCTCCCTGAACGTGACACAGATTCGGCGATGCTCTATATGCTTGCGGAAAATCGCGTGTTTCCACTTGTACCGTGCGTCACCGTACAGCACCACCAGAGACCGTCGGGGTAAGTGAATGGCAACAGTCACCTCTTTCCTTGGAACAAGCCTTGGGAATGAGATGCAGCTGATTCCCTCTTCGCCTGGATTTTTGCATGCTGACGTCTGTGTAAAAGATCCAGGGGGACTTAATTCCCCATTTTCTTTACTGAAAGTGGGAAATAATTGGATACTGTCCTCTGAATCACAAGACATGGATAGCACGGTTTTTGAGAGCAAGTTTAAGCTAACCAGACGCTCTCCCCAAAGCCACCAGTCATCAAAATGTGGGTCGATGGCAGAACCTCTTTCTGGCATGTAGTCCAGGTTACATTGTTCAACAGGTAGGAAACCGCCTAGTACAGAGCAGGCCTTCATTTGTGCCACAATCTTTTTACTAAAACTTGGCAAACCGGTGAAGGTGCCAGCTTTCAGCCTTTGTTTTTTGAAGTTCACTTTGGGCCCGTAGTCCTGTTGGAAAAGAGGAGAGCGGTAGAAAGTTAGCGTTAAGGAAAAAATCTAGGACAAGTCTTTCTGCAGAGGCTGTGGTCCCTACAGGGCTCACGGTCAAGACTTTTGAGTTCTGTCCTCATCTCTTCCAGTGGCCTGGTCACCAGGTTGTAAAAGGACTCGGTGAAGCTACATTAGTCTGTCTGGAACTAGATTTCTCACCTGTAAAGTGAAAACAAACCAAAACACCCACTTCTGTCACTTGGAGATCGTGTGAACTTTAATGCCTGATCACGCACTATCAAACACTGTTTGTTGTAACTATCATATTTTTGCAAGAAGTTGACTTTAATTACAAGTAATTCTTGCAACTGACTTCAAGAGAAGCTTTCAAAGGAAAACATTTAATGAAACCTCTAAATATTTGGGGTTTTAACTGAAAACAGCTTTCCTTTTCCAGAGGGATCTAAGAATAAACCTGCTTCAAAAGTCAAACCTGTTTCTTTCGGCCAGACTGTGATGGTTTCCAGTCGTCTCGATCCATCAGTTCAACTATCTCAGATTCTTCATCTTTGCTAATGAACTCCTCCATCAGAAACACCCCTGGAAATGGAAATGCCCAGCCAGCAAATTCAGAGTGCTCATTTCCTTTAGCTAGGCCTGTTGCTGGACAGTAAGTGAAATTATCTTCTCCCTGTGGAAATAACAATGGAGAAGGAAAAAAAAAAGAAGGGGGGGGCAACACTTATTAAGATAAGGTATTTCCATGATTCAGCCTGCAGCCTTGATGCTGCAGCATGAAAACTGTCCACGATTGTTGTAGACATGAGAAATTTCACAGCTGCTTTTGGGGAACAAGTTTTCCCTGCTTTTTTTACAGCTGCAGCATTACTGTGCTGCTTGTTTGAAGCCGCTTTTCTTTCCTAGTAATGTTTTAATTCTAAAATCCTGCAAAGACAGGGAAGAAGAGATGATCCTCCGTGCCAAATGTATGAGATTAAGGGTCGGTATTCCACGGGCCGGCTGCAGAGATACGGTTTGTCCCATCAGTGAGTGTTGAATGAGGAAAGTTGATAAAAATCGCCAAGCTGTAGCGAACCTGACTTTCCTAACACATGGAACCCAGGTAAGGTCAGGCCTGGCCTTTGAGGCTGCTGCCTGCACCCGTAATGCTACTGAGGCCAA